ATATATATATATATATATATATATATAGAGAGAGAGAGAGAGAGAGAGAGAAAGGGAAAGAAAATAAAGAAAACTATTCCATATCAGAATCGTAAACACAATAGAGAATATCTTACAGCCCCGCTGCCTCCAGCGACAGTTTCATAGTATCCCCACTCTTCTGTGCCCAATGTGACATTGTTCATGCAACCCTGTGATGCAGCACAAGCTTTAAAAGCTTGGAGAATTACATCCACAACACGTTGCGACGTCAGAACGTTGCCACCAACCACCGCAGCTTCTTCCGATGGGTCCAAAAGTGATCCTTTAGGGATGATTACCTTGACTGGCTTCAGACAACCCTGAAAGTAGGTTTAATCACTTTAGAATAATTGTTCCTACCATTAAAAAATATACAAGGTGTGTTTTTTAAATTAAACGATCTAAGGAATCTATATAAAATGGCACTTACGAGAAGTCAGTAATATCTTTATCATTATCTCGAGCAAATGAGAGTAGTGACGGTAGTTATCACAATTTAAAAACATTTATTTCACGAAACTATACTCGCATGAACACATTCTTAACACATTGTCTATCAACGATGATTTCATAATTTTTGAAAGAGTCTACAATTTTCAGTTAATCTCATTCAATGCCAAGCAAAAGAGCATCTTAGAACGTGATATCTCGTAGTCGACTACGTGAATGGATTGAAACCTTTTCAATGAAATTTTCGGTGGGAATAGCAATTTTAGACCAACAAGTTACTCTCAGTAATGTAATCTAACAATTTCCTAACAATTTCCTCTTACTATAGCACAATAATTGAAAATCCTATTAATAGGTTCTCGGTGGATAACAGCAATTTTAGACCAACAAGTCACTCTCAGTAATATAATCTAACAATTTCCTAACAATTTCATCTTACTATAGCACAATAATTGAAAACCCTATTAATAGGCTCCCGGTGGATAAAGTGTTGATAGATACACGTAATTTAAAAGATGAGTACATGCCTGGTTTAGCGGAATGTCTCTACCAACGATACACCTCAGACAGTAAATCAGCGCAGAGAAGGTAATGGCACGTGGTGCGTTGCAATTGCCCCAGACTTCGTACCCCGTACCGCTGTAACCATAATCTCTCTTTAAAACCACAACAATTTCTAGTAAAACTGTTAACTATCATTTCTAAAAGCCGACCTGAAGTCACAGACAGCTTCGCCTTTCTCAATATCGATACGAAGAGCGAATTGAATGGCGCTTCCATCGTCCATGTAATCCACTGCAGTGGCAACGGTACTTCCGGTTTCTTCCAGAAGCTTTTTCCCGTAGGATTTCAACATGTCCCTCACCGCAGTCTCCGCATTTTGTTGAATGTGGCCCATGTAAGCTTGCACGACGTCCAAACCGTATATATCTATCAGTTCGTTTACCAGCAATGAACCCTAAATTTGTACAAATTGATTACGAGAAACCCGTCAGAGAATAAGCTACTTGCGTTGCAATTTGTCACCTTGTGATTGGCCGAAATCTGGGCCTTCAAGTCGCTGAAATTGTCGCCGAGATTCCTGGTCCCAGAACTTCCTGGAATCTTTCCAGGAGCCATCAATTCTTCAGTGAGTTCCTTCTCGCGGAACACGCCTTTGTGCACCAGCAGGAAGCTCTTGAAAGCAGCACCTTCCTGTCAGACAAAGGATATATTGGGATATTGATAAACGTTCCAGGATAGACACTATTGCTAATGGGAGCATTATAACTAAGTTTCGAAATTTTTTCATTTACGAGTAATGATATTGCACAGATATACCTGTGAGAAAATCGCTAAAAATCTGAATAAATATTTTATTGTCACCTTTAGAAAGGAAATATAAAATAGAAGCTTGATTCATTCAGAGATATTGGTATATCTCATTAACCGTTCTAGACATAAGGATGGTCAATTTTCTATAGTATACAGGGTGTTCCAAAATCATGGTACTACCAGGAAATAAGGGATTCCTAAGGTCATTTGAACTTTTCCGTAGCGCGAATGCAATCTGCCGTTTTATTTACGAGTTATTAACGAAAAACGGTGACCAATGAGAGGCGACCTCGGCTGGCCTTTCATTTGCCAGTGTTTTTCGTTAATAATCCGTAAACGAAGCCACGGATTATATTTTTGCTAAGGAAAAAGTTGCTTCAAATAACCTCAAGAATTCCTCATTTCCTAGAAATAGCATCATTTTGGGATACCCTATACACGTTAGTAGGAGCTGCATAGTACAAATAGTTTCTTTCTTTGGCAGTGCTAACGAATTTAGCATATACCATTAAATCGAACTCGCTACATAATATTACATTTTCATATTAACGAGGAAGTAATTATATCACTGTGCCTAATCACTCAATCTCCCATCAACAGGCTAGTTTTGCTTATCGAATAGTTCTTATAATTGAGTTCGTACCTGAAGCAACGTAGTGGAATGCGGTGGCATGGAACCAGGCGTGATTCCGCCGATATCAGCATGATGACCTCTGCTAGCCACGAAGAACACCGGCTTCTTTACCTCCCTGTGCACAATCATCCATCATTTACAATCGCAATCGTGGCAAGTTGTGTTATTAACCCCTTGCCGTACTTTCAACGTATTTAATCACTCGAATAAATATGGTCCATATAAATCTATTCTTCGAAGAAATGATTACAATCGGAAAAGTTCTAATCATTGTAATTATAATGATAGTAGTGCGGCAAGACGTTAACATTGGATTTACGGAGCACTAAAAGCAACTGCTTTGTATTAGTTTATAAAAGTAACAATTAAAATATAATAACAATTAAAATATTAAAGTAACAAAGATATTTATTCTGATTTCTAACGAATGTTATCAGAATCTGACTAATCGTAAATTCAAACATTCAAGTGAGTTAAAAAAGCGACCCGCCATTTTGACGGGTTCCATAAACCTAGTGTTGATGAAGTAAAGCGAGAAACACAAATAATAATAATAAATTAAGTATATAAGTAATAATAATAATAATCAAGTAAGAGAAACAAGTACTTGTAAAATACGGGAGTTATGACAGTGAGATCCGGGAGATGCGATCCACCCGCCGATGGATGATTCGCAAGAATGACGTCGCCCCTCGAGAACTCGCCCTTGAAAAACCTCATTTGGTACTGCACCGTCTCCTGCATGGCACCCAGATGAACCGGTATATGCGGTGCGTTGGAGACTAATCCGCCATCCGGCCCGAAAACGGCGCAGGAGAAGTCCAATCGTTCCTTTATGTTCGTGGAGATCGAAGTTCTCTGGAGAATCCTTCGAGAAGCGAATTTATGAGATGCTTAAGTAGATCACGAGCCATCGTAAGATGCGTCTTATCGCGCGATTTACCTGCCCATCTGCTCGGCGATACTCATGAAGCGGTGGGAGAAAATGCTGAGCTGTATAGCGTCTAAGTCGGTCGTGACCTCCGTCTTCAGGCCTTGACCGATCGTAATCTTGACGTCGCCGCGAGCAGTGATCGATGCGGTGCAATCGGGCTCGATCAGAAGAGTGCTCAGGCTGTCCATTATAATCGCCGGCCCGGGGATCGTGTGGCCAGGCGACAACGAAGCTAATTGGAACACCTTTGTCTCGTGGTAGCCGTTCTCGAAGTAGACCATGGTTGTCTGGAAAGAGATTCGATGTTATACGACTGGTCCCTTCGATTTTTATGAAGTTTAAAGGTCGCTTGCCTTCTCCATCTTCGGAGGTTCCTTAGACGAGGGTAGAACCGGGTTTTCCTCGAGGTCAGTCTTGCCCACTCCACGAACTCTGACGTCGTTCACCAGAACCTTCCGATTCGGCATAGTGAAACCGAACTCCGTTTGATACCTTCGCAAAGTGAGATCGTTAATTGTTCTTTTCGAGCTTATCAACGTATTTCTTTTAAACACGAAACACGCGTTACCTTTCTAGGAATGTTGCGAGGTAGTCGCCGTGTCTCGTGCCTTCGACGGTACTTTCTCGATTAGGTGTGCACATTAGCGCGCAATCTGTCCCGTGGTAACGCAGATGCAAAAATGGTTGCGTGATTATCTGAGACTCGGCGAACCCTTGCTCCGACAGTTTAGCTCGAACTTTCTTTGTCAAACGGTCCAATCGCTCGTCCAGTCGAGCAAACGATTCTAAAAGAAATCCGGGTGTACCGCAATTATGGTTAACGTAAAAAGAAGCAATTATGAAGCTTACCAGGCTCGTAAACTTCAGCACTGGGCTCCTGGGCCTCTTCCACCACGTCCGCCAACGCCATTCCGTAAGCGGACAAAATTCCAGCGTACTTGTGAACGAAAACCGTGTCCATTCCGAGCGAGCGTGCGATGGCGCACGCGTGTTGTCCACCTGCGCCTCCGAAACATGCTAAAACATGGCGGGAAGGGTCGTAGCCCTTTGCCTAAAAATTGCCAAAATATAGAAACAATTGCACGGTAGAAACAATTGCACCGTAGAAACATTTGCCACGGTAGAAACATTTCTGTAAACGCACCTGTGTCAGAGCCCTTATCGGCCTACACATCGTTTCGTTCGCCACCCTGACGAAACCCATCGCCACTTCCTCAATTGACATCTTCGTCTTCTTTTGGCCTTCTTTTGCTAAAAATTCGTTTATCTATAAACCAGAGTGAAATTCACTGTTATCTTCTAAATAACACGCTTTAATATTTGATGCGGTAGAAGAGGAGAGAAGTTTCGAAGCATTCTACGCCGAAATTCCACCATTTTAAGATAGCAGCGATTTACTTACGCGACCGGTAAGCGTCTCAAACGCCTCCATGGTCCGCGATTTGTCCAGCGGTTCGTTTTCCCTCGGCCCGAATATTTTCGGGAAATACTCCGGCAACAGCCTTCCCAAAGCTAAATTGGCGTCGGTCACGGCCAGAGGACCGTTTTTCTTGTAACAAGCTGGTCCAGGATGGGCTCCCGCGCTTCTCGGCCCGACCTCGAAGAGCCCCGATCTAAAGAAAAGCATCGATCCACCGCCTGCTGCTACTGTGTTCACGTCCAACTTTAACCGAATTCCGTCACGTTTGAGATCATCGAAACTGTTCGTTTCCGACAATGAAACCTAGGCTCGCCTAACTCGTCGTATGGAAATCAAATCTCTAAAGAAGATCTTCATTTCTCCGAACACGGTGAAGATGTGTTCGCGCCCGTCGAAAAGAATTCGGCGGGTTCGCTGTGTTCTGTTCACGAGCCGTACGCAATTCTGGCAATGGCTAATCTAAGCATTCCTAACGGGATAGCAAAATGGTACCTGTGCAGCCTGGATCGTCACGCCAGCCGTGGTGCTTTCGTAGACGTGCTCGTAGCTGCCTCCGTAACGACTCACGTCGGTCGAAGTCCCTCCCATATCGAAACCGATCACCGGCAAATTGGTTTCCTTGCCGTAAGTGGTCATTGCGTAACCAACCACGCCGCCGGCTGGTCCAGAGAGTATAGCTCGAGATCCATTAAATCTGAAAAGAATCGGGATCGTTCGCGACAGATTGAACGCATTCCGTTATTACCGTCACGGTTGGCTAAAAGTGATCTCACGAGTTCATTGGTGTCAGGCCACCGTCGCTCTGCATGAACAGGACGTTCACACCCCGCAGTTTGTCCTTGAAACCGCAAGAGAAGCCCTGAAGTCGATTCGTCGATTAATATGGAGAGCCGGGGATTGCACTTTTGCGCGCGATCTGAGCGCGGATTAGGGAGAGATTACCGTACCTCTAAGTATTGTTTAATGTGCGGCGTCAAGTACGCATCGGCGCAAGCAGTGAAGCCTCTAGGAACGATTCTCGTCATTGGCATGACTTCGTGAGATAGGGACACCTGGGAGAAGCCAGCATCCCTCGCCAGTTCGCCGACTCTAACTTCGTGCTCGGCGAACCTGACAAAAGCAGAAAGTATAACGGTCAGAGGATCAAATAAATTTCTCCAGTCTGCAACGATGAACTGTTATCCGTGCGCACTGACATGTAACTGTGCGCCAGGACCACGGCCAAACTCTCGATCCCAGAACGTCGTAGCTGCTTCAGGTCCTCCTTCAACCTCTCCTCGTCGAGTTCCCGCGTTACGAACAAATCCTCTCCGGTGGAACCTTTCGCTCTACGCCATTGTTTGCTGTCCAAGCAGCATCTGCCAGGCAGAGCTGGTATCGCCCTGCATTTCACTTCTACGACCTCCTTGTAAAGCACCTCCGGCGTGACCACTTTCTGAAACCGAGGAACGGATGTCGGCGAAAAATTCCGTGAGAACAGCTTTCCCAAATACTAACCAGGTCAAATATATTCGGCCGTGCTTGGTTCCCAATAAAAATCAGATCTCTGAGACCCTGGTTTATCAAAAGGGCCATGTTCGCGCCTTTTCTCTCCAGCAGCGCGTTCGTCGCCACGGTGGTTCCCATTCGGATCCATGATATCAACGAAGCATCGATCTCTCCGTCGATCTTCCGTCCAGTCTCCTAAAGTTGTCAAGATTTATTTATACAAAGAAATACCCCATGTCTCTGGACACTGGCAGTATCGAATTTTAACGTATTCTATCGGAACGCTTTCACTCTGGAACAACGTTTAAGTAAATCAAGTCAGCTGAATCCGCTGAATATAGAATACGCGATCCGCAAAGATATCACCAACGATAAGACTGAGCTGCCGAATCCGTTCTACCGATAAGAGACCACGGAAAACAGTTGAAATTTGTGCGAGGACACCGTAACGTTCTCACCTGCTCGAGGATCCTGCGGATTGCTTCGCGTGGCGCGTCCTGATAATTGGCAGGATCAACGGACAGCAGTTTCATCACTCGAACTTTGCCGCCCGGACACCTGGCGTACACGTCGGTAAACGTGCCGCCACGATCTATGGCGAACTCAAATTTCGCCTGACACATTTCTCACGTTTCTGTAGTAAACGACGACGACGACGACGACCCTGATCGGGCCAGCACTGCCCGGCGTAGTTGGAAACCGTGACCGATGACGATCGATGACGTATCGCGTCACGCGAACATAACAGGTCCGGGACAAGCAGAGCAGTCCGAGTGTTGCTCCTCGAACGGCTACCAGCAAAGTGCTCGTCTCAATGGGTTGGCTGCATACTGATTATAATTGGAGTAATCTACGGGTCGGTGCGGAGCCAGCTCGTCTGTCTGTTTACGTTCGCCGCCGCCGCCTGACACTTTCTATTTGTTCCGAGATTCCCGTGTATGACAAGCTCCGCTGCGGCACTGAGCCGACACACATCGAAGGCTCTAGTATTATTCCATTTATTTAGAGACGGTGGCCGTTGCGTAACCGTTTCGTTACGGCTCATGAATTCTTCGAGGTTCTCAACCCATCGCGCAGCGTTGCAACTCTTCCGCTTCTTGTTTAATCGTCTTCCTCGATAACAGAGAATTTGCGATTTCACTGGATTCGATGGAAACCGCGATCTGACGCGTAATTTGTCGCCTGCGAGTTACGCTTACTTGAAGGGAACGTTTGAGAGTTACTGCTACCATGGATAGTATGGATTTTCCCATAAGGAGGATAATTTATTTACCGAAACGTAGACTTCTTTCGAGACTTGTGCCGCCGGGGAGAGGAGAACTTAAAGATTGATTTATTGACAGAATTGTTTTTTTTCTCGTTGATTGTGTAATTCGCGAGTGCTCGTCCCAATCGGGGCTCTGATAACGATAAGAGCCATCGCATTAGAGTCTGCGCGTGAACACCGCGTACCGGGTGATCGATGGAGCGATACCGGGTGATATTAGATCGACGGAGCCGGAGCATCGTGCAACGTCTCGTTAACAGGGAACAATTTATTAAAATGTGATCTGTCGTTCGTTTTTACAACGTTCATTCTACAATCGCAGTCCTCGGGATTTCTCCTTACAAAATAATCGATAGTCTTAACATCTCTATGTAGGAATTCTCTTCGCGAAGTATTTTATCTACAATTACCGTTAAAAAGTTTTCGAGGGAACTGGGTATTACACGGGACAATTAGTATGCTACAAGGATATGAGGTTGAGCGGATCACAGGCCCTCTTGAGAAGATCTGCGGGATTCCCCGGACTGTGGGACGAAGGTGTAAAAATATGTATAAATGCAATCTTCTCGATGTAATTTCTGGTTAAACGTTCCGTCGTGCCGAAAGACAATTGATCGATCGATAACACTTCGATTCGACGTATCCCCCCCTTCTCCCTATCAATAAATAGACATTGTATAAAAATCGGGAATTAAACCATCGTTCCTAGAAAAGTTCAGTTCGTTTTATAGCCGAGCCCTGCCCTCGAGGATGTCATTGTAAAGCTGTTCCGTGAGTTTCACGTAAACGCCGTTGTTATCCAGAAAATACACTGTGTCCGTTATCTGCGAGCAAACATTCGGATACGTAAATATTTATGTGCGAAGAATAGGGACAGAGAGAGAGAGAGAGAAAGAGTGCGATAACGATTACCTTTTTGATATTGAAACCGTCCAACTTGAGATCTTTTTTCTTCAACTTAAACGTGCCTAAGGAAGCAAATTGTCAGTCCCGTCGATTTTATGAAGAATATTATTAACCCTTTGCGCTCGAGTGGCGACTCCGAGGCATCGCTAAAATTTGTCGGATCACGGTCTAAGATCATCTTTACGTTAACGAAGCTTAGATTTACAAAATTGTTAAAAGTGTAGCCGTTGTGCGGGTCGCAAGACTCGATTTCGCACGCGTAAAATGCACTTTGTCGTCTAAAATGAAAATACTGTAAGTGAGAAAATTGATTTTAGATTTACGGTTAAAACGGCTTCGAGTGCAAAGGGTTAACGTTGAAAGATCGTTGAAAGACAATTACCAGTCATTGGCAATTCCGACAAAACCCGAACGAAAAGAGGCCTGGCGTAAGACGGCAGTGCTTTCTTCACTCCTTCCGCCATTTCCTTGATGTTCAATGTATTCTCCGGGTCGTAAATGGCTGCCATACCGGCCTTCCCTTCGACATGAGGTATCTAGCGATCACACGAGACATTTAAAGATCATTAACGAATGATTAAAATATGATTTCTGTTCCCCCTCTGACAATCACCTCAACGCCATAAACGGCCGCGTCCTTCAGCCCTATCACGTTGCTAACGATTGCTTCGACTTCCGAGGTGGCCACATTTTCGCCACGCCACCTACAATTGTTACAAAACTCGTTAAAACCGTTGGGAAAAGTGGATAACACCGGAGCGTATACTTTCCGCAATTAGTAGGCTACAATTTCGGAACGACATTGTTTTGCGAATTTAACCGTGTCCTGGTCAGACTATGTACGATCATGGAAATAGTGAATAGGCTTGCCTGAAGGTGTCACCGGTCCTGTCCTTGAAGTAGAAGTAGCCCAATTCATCCATTACCAAAATATCACCTGTTGCGAAAAACGCGGTTTAATCATCGCTCGGGGCGTCCTACGAAACAAACCGTTTTTGTTTGAACGAATCACCGACCAGAATTGAAGACACGGTCGCCCTTCCGGAATACGTCGCGCAGGATCTTCTGCTCGGACGCTTTTTTGTCCGCGTAACCGCAGAAGTCGTTTAGTACCTTCTTTGGGTTTATCTTGCCCACGAAGATGCCTGGCTCGCCTGCAACACAACAGCAAAACAAAATCAACGTTTCATTCTAATCGTATCGAGAGAGAGAGAGAGAGAGAGAGAGAGAGAGAGAGAAACGAGTACAATGTTTCAACTTTTAACGAATTTACTGTCGGCCTTTTGAGATCAGTGGAACATTCAACTTTCGACCAGAATATCCAATTTGATTAACACTAAGTTTATGGGACCAGTCGAAATGACACCTTCCAAAAATCTGATAATTTACGATTATTACAAATGTAATGATACACTTGTGAATAATTTCTAAAACAGATTTCTAAAACAAGTTGAAATCGCGAAAGATTCAAATAAATAAATTATCATTAATTTTATAAGCTAATATAAAATAGTTGTCCTTAGTGCTTCGTAAATCTAATGTTAACGCTAAACCTAACGAGCACTTATGGTAACTGACGTGAGATGCTTAAACGCGACCGAATTTATTTAAATTTTGCCGCATTTTTATTACAATGTACGCTCGACTTAAGAAACTTGAATCAATTATTTTCTACGAAAGTGTCTCTACGATTCCAACAATTTTTAAATAAATAACGAAAAACCGGTCAGTTTAACTGGCAAGGCGATGGCTAGGTCAATCTTGATCCAGGGTATTCGAATCATTCATTTAACCCTTTGCACTCGAAACCATTTTAATCTGAAACACTTTTTCTGTCTTACAGTATATCCATTTTATGTAACAAAGCGCATTTTATACATATGAAATTGAGCGTTGCAATTCGTACAACAGTTACACTATTAACAATACTTTTAATTTAAACTCTGACAATATTAAAATTATCTTGGAGCGTGACATAACATTTTTATCGGGGTCACCACTCGAGCGCAAAGGGTTAATTATTCAATTCTCGGCGATTAAATAAAGTAACACGGTGTTACATTAGGAAGAAGAGAAAGACTAATAAAAAAAGCTTCCACAATAAATCTTCAAAAGAATGTTTCGAAAAATTTCTGAATAAAGCTCAGAATTGTTATAAACATCGTCAATGGTACAGCTGTGAGAATGGTCCGCCGTTCGAGGGTTAATTATAATCTATCGTCGCTTTTTTTCCATTGTTCCTCTTATCATCAACACAAATAAACGTCTCAAACTATTCATTGTACTACTGAAAGAGTAGAATCTCAATTATCGGAGGCTTCGATCACAGAATTCATAATTCCCCAAATTCCGTTGCGCGTGTAAACGACTCGGTCCAATGCAATCCATGAACATTGGCGACAGAAAATATTCGACGAGCTCACCAGGTTTGCAACGCACGCACAAGCCGTCAGGTCCTCTGACGGGTTCTCCAGTTTCCTCGTCGACTTTCAATAGAGCCACTGGGTATAGGGAGCCCGCGCAGAGTGGTACGAATCCCACGGCGCCGATTTTGTTATCGATGTTCACTGTAAAAGACAACGAGGAAATAATTTCTAGTTGTCCCATAGTTACGGTGAATTCACGTAGGAATCGTGAAATATTTTGAAATACCGAGATTGGAGTTTCCTTCCGTGGCACCATAGAATTCGCCTATTTGAGTAACATTGTATCTCTCGATGAAGGGCTTCCAGATATGAGGTCTGAGCCCGTTCCCGAATATCAGGCGAACCTTGTGCTTCTTGTCGCAGGGATTCGGCGGGACCATGAGCAGGTATCGGCATATTTCACCGATGTATTGAGCGACCTGCGGTTAAACAATAGTCACATGCAATGGGAAACTTTTTACATTGATCACAGAAGCTGTTTCTAACCAGTCATCGTGCTATCGCTCATAATTTACTCGTATCAAATGTTAACAAATTTCTGCTTAGCATCGGCGATGGATTAGGTTGAATGAATTTATTTGAAACAATTGTTGAACAATATTTTCGAGATCGTAGGGACCTTTCTGCTGTGCTGTTGAAGTATCAAGAAATTTGTTTAGAAAGAGATTTCAAATAAAACCTGTGTCGACGATTTTAATGCAACTCCATTAGCGATAACTAATTTTTAACGAATCTTTAGCAGCACGCCAATCTTTTATGATCATTTTATCTTGCTTTTACTTCGAGAAATTGCTCAAATGGCTTTTTTGCAATTATGGCCTTTTAAAATCAATTCCCGCGGATTTACAACTTCTGATATGGAAATTGCGAGTATGCAGGCATTTATGGCAGATCGATGTTGACAGATTCAACTTTGAGTGTTCGATTCGATGTGACCTGAGAATACACGTTTCTGGACTTAGGGTTCGAATTAAAATTCATTCCGGGCAACCTTACAGTGCATTCATAATGGACACAGTCCGGCCAGAATTTGGAAGCGCTGAAGCGCCTTCGTAGCACCACCGTCACGCCCATCAACAATGACTGACCAACTCCGATTAATCCGCCCGCGGTGTGATAGAGTGGCAACGAATTATAAATTCGATCGGTCGAGCGCAGGTTTAACATGTAGTAAACTCCGCACGACATCAGCATGTACCTATAAAAGAGCACTTGTTTAAAAATCATATTCTATTCATATGGTAATTAACGCTATCGATCGAACTATTTTTACACTGCTCGTTAAATTCCTTTTTTTAGTATCGCGTAAAATAACTATGGCCTCGTAGGATTGTGAAGTTTCGAACATCGTAATTCGTGGCGCAATTTACATTCAGGCGACATACTTTTTAGTCGATGCCGAAGGTCAGTTTTTTCAGTGGGAACCCCCCCTGTGTGTGATAAGCAATTATAATAGATACGAGAGAATTTCGCGGAAAATGTTCGAAAGGTGTAAATTAATAGATTCTCCTTCTTGTGTTTGGTCAGCTGTTAGATCAACGAATCATTATCTAAATGCTGCTGTAATCGATGACTCACCGCAAACATTCGCGTCATCTATTAATACCCAATTAAAAATCCAAACGCAATGCATTCGTACATGACTATTCAACGAGCGATTAGATCTCTTCGACAACGTTGCTTAATCACTCGGGACTCATTGTTTCTCCTTATATCTTCTATCGAAAGACTGATTCAGATCCAAAGGTTGCCACGATAATATCGATGTGTACGTCGAATAACCGAAGATTTGTAATTTATAATGAAATTATAATCTTATAATATTATCTTGTGTCTTTTGGTTTTTCCCAATATTAGCGAAGCAAGGAGAATCGTACCTTAGATTGGTGATGACTGCTGCCTTTGGCATGCCGGTAGTCCCCGACGTGTAGATGTAGATCAATTTATCGCGGGGCGTACCGCGAGCTAGCTCCTCGACGAGAGGCGCCGGATCAACATTGCGGACTTCTGTGTTCAGATCGATCGCACCCTCCAAACACTCCGTATCCGACAGTTCCGACCACTGGTACAAGGTCAGGTCCGGGATCTTGTCCTTGACGTCACGGATTGCTGAAAGAAACCATCAAATCGCTACACATTTGCAACTCGAACAATACGGAGAATTTGTCTTTCAATTTTATTCAATTCCACGGTATTGTTGTTTCAGAAATACGAATGTTCTTAAACGCATATCTTGCATCATTGCACGAGGCTCTTCAAATGGTATACCTTTGTTCTATATGATTATTTCGATGAGTATGATTAAGTAGGTTGTTTCACTTTCCATTCTCAAGGTTGCTACTTAACGTTATCGGTAACTCCATCGATCTTAACTTCATCCGATAAAGAGAAATGTTGATTACTCTGAAGAACCTCGGAATGTAAGACTTCGAAAACATTTCTTTTCACGATGTTTCCCTCTTCGAATCGATCATGTTTTATTCAGAGATTTTCTCTTTTCTCTTATCGAGAACAAGGGATATATTTAAAATACTAAAATGACGCGGTAGTACGCAGAAGTGTTAAAAATCAATTGTGCAAATGATAAATGTTTTGATATTGCTGGGAGATTAAAATATTCATCATAGATGACGGATCATTGAGAAGAGACTGGAGGAAACAATAACTGAACGTTGCGATAGGTAAACATCCGTTGAATTAATTATTCACATGATTCATGGTTTACTATCGCATCTGAACGAGCAGACATGACGGAAGCAAACAGCGAACCGATTGAAGTCAGACATATGAATATTCTGTGGACTTTAGTTTAGGCGAATGTCCTGGCAATGTAATATGTACATGTAATATTTATGTGAGCAATGTAATAAAACTACAAATGTAAGATTTATAATTGGCGACAGTACGGCGAATAATTAGAATCTCTGGATTACATAAAGTACAAAATTTAGGACTGCCAATTAATGAAGCAATAATGAAGTCGCTTTACACTGAAACTGTTAGCTTTTTACACTGAAAAATAACCCAGCAACAGCAACGATATTACTAGTAAATATTCGTTGATGTTATATTCATAAAATACAAAATTTAGAACTGCCAATTAATGAAACAATAATGAAGTCGCTTTACACTGAAACTGTTAGCTTTTCACACTGAAAAACAACCCAGCAACACCAACGATATCACTAGTAAATATTCGTTGATGTTATATTCATAAAATATAAAATTTAGAACTGCCAATTAATGAAACAATAATGAAGTCGCTTTACACTGAAACTGTTAGCTTATAACATTGAAAAACAACCCAGCAACACCAACGATATCACTAGTAAATATTCGTTGATGTTATATTCATAAAATACAAAATTTAGAACTGCCAATTAATGAAACAATAATGAAGTCGCTTTACACTGAAACTGTTAGCTTTTCACACTGAAAAACAACCCAGCAACACCAACGATATCACTAGTAAATATTCGTTGATGTTATATTCATAAAATACAAAATTTAGAACTGCCAATTAATGAAACAATAATGAAGTCGCTTTACACTGAAACTGTTAGCTTTTCACACTGAAAAACAACCGAGCAACACCAACGATATCACTAGTAAATATTCGTTAATGTTATATTCATAAACGTTGGTTGACAATGCCTATTATACAACAGTCGCGTTCTAATGCGATCGGTAAGGGGTCATCTACCTCATTCAATTCTTCAATGATTATGCACCGACTAATGCGATCGATAAGGAGTCATCTACCCCATTTAATTCTTCAATGATTATCCACCGACTAATGCGATCGCAGAACTTACCCTCTGCAAACTCCGCGCCAAAAATCACTGCCTTGCAGTCGGCCGCCTTCATGCTGTGCACCAACACCTCGTGACGAAGATTCGTGTTGATGAGCGCGCTCACGTACCCAGCCTTGCTCAAGCCAAGCCACGTGCCCACGTATTCGGGACGACTTTCCATGATCAAAGCGACCCTGCTCCCTCTGGTCAATGACGTCGAAATGAAGTATCGCCCCAGCCGGTTGCTGTACTCTTCCAGCTGCATTGACATTTAATAATACCATCGAATAGTAACAATCATCGAGAAAATAAAATTCGCACAAATTTGCTATTTGAAGTACAGTAAATTCTTCCGAACTTTCGCTCAGCTTGGAAATAAAAATGGAAAATTCGGTAAGAGGAGAAACGATTGTTCAAGCCTTTTATAGCTATCAATTGTCAACAACTCGAATAATCGCACCTCCTCTTCTCAAATTATCCATTTTTGCTTACAAGCTAGATTAGAGAGAATTTAATGTATTTGGGTAGACTAAAAAACATAATTATAATGTCAACCATTTGTGCTCGAAGCTGTTTTATATCGTCCTAGTCGATTACTGTACTCTTCCAGCTGCATTGCCATTTAATAATACCATCGAATAGTAACAATCATCGAGAAAATAAAATTCGCAAAAATTTGCTATTTGAAGTACAGTAAATTCTTCCGAACTTTCGCTCAGCTTGGAAATAAAAATGGAAAATTCGGTAAGAGGAGAAACGATTGTTCAAGCCTTTTATAGCTATCAATTGTCAACAACTCGAATAATCGCACCTCCTCTTCTCAAATTATCCATTTTTGCTTACAAGCTAGATTAGAGAGAATTTAATGTATTTGGGTAGACTAAAAAACATAATTATAATGTCAACCATTTGTGCTCGAAGCTGTTTTATATCGTCCTAGTCGATTACTGTACTCTTCCAGCTGCATTGCCATTTAATAATACCATCGAATAGTAACAATCATCGAGAAAATAAAATTCGCACAAATTTGCTATTTGAAGTACAGTAAATTCTTCCGAACTTTCGCTCAGCTTGGAAATAAAAATGGAAAATTCGGTAAGAGGAGAAACGATTGTTCAAGCCTTTTATAGTTATCAATTGTCAACAACTATAAAAACGAGCCGAAAGACTCGAATAATCGCACCTCCTCTTCTCAAATTATCCATTTTTGCTTACAAGCTAGATTAGAGAGAATTTAATGTATTTGGGTAGAC